GTCAGTGTTGCAGTTCTGACAGTGATGCAGCTCTGTGACTGCTCCTGCAGAGCAGGGCTACCCCATAGGCAGTGTGCTGAGAGCAGCAGCTCAGGGCAGGTTTGCAGTCATAGTTATACCTACTTTTCATTGCATGCAGATTAAGGGGTGTTTTTTGCAGACATTTCTAGGAAAAGGGTAGTAACTCCTGCATCATCAGGTCATTTCCATGGAGAGGAGCAATAACTCCTGGGTGTTGCCACGCAAAGGTAAACTGACGTGGCACACTGGTGGGCGTGTCTTATGGAAAGTTGCTTCTGCCTAGTTCCTATTTTAGCTAGTCCTCCATTTGGTCCAGTGTCTGAGCCCTATCTCTGGTATTGAGTCCCACCTCCTACCTCAGTGGTGGGGGTCGGTTCTGCCCGGATGGGTTCAGAGCCTCCTTGCTGCTTCTGTCTCTGGCCTGGGCTTTGACAACCCATATTCTCTCTAGAACACCATTTAGGTCACAGCAATTAAACTTGAATTTTTCCAAAAAATCAGCAGCTACCTGATGTCCACTGTATCTTTCTGGAGTTCCATGTATTTCCAACTAGATAGACTTTTCCATCTTCATAATAGGTGAGAAGGAGGGGATTGGGAGGGGCCATGGGGAGGAGCATAAGGAGGCTACATGGGAGGCAGCCTCTGAGGTTTCAGCGAGCCTTCCACACAGTGCTGCCAGCAACACACCATGTGATCCTGAGCAAGTCCCTTTCCTTCACCGTAGCCCCAGTTTCCATTCATAAAACGAGGAGATGGGATTCAGTCACTCTTGTGGTACTTTGCAGTGGTAACGTTTCATGCTCCTTTCTGTGCCCTACTGGTCATGCCAAGTGTCTAAGAAAGGCAGTGCTTGGCCTAAGTCACCTAGCAAGTTGGGGAAGGAGGCAGAAAGTGCACCCGCTGTGAGCAGCAGGAGGCCGTGTTCTGTTCACTGCTGGGACAGCCATAGCACCTTGCTAGTGCCTTGCACACAGTAGGTACTTGATAGATTTACTGAATGAATGCATGCACGTTTCTAGACTCCTGAGTTAGTGTAGATTCCAGAAGCTACTGTCTTTCTGTTAGGATTCTAGAAATAAGCCCTCAACTTCCCCACCAGGATGGTTTGTTACCAAATGGGGATCCAATCCTTTCTTTTTTTTTTTTTTTTTGAGACAGAGTCTCACTCTGTTGCCCAGGCTGGAGTGCAGTGGCGCAATCTCGGCTCACTGCAAGCTCCGCCTCCCAGGTTCACGCCATTCTCCTGCTTCAGCCTCCCAGGTAGCTGGGACTACAGGCACCCGCCACCACACCCGGCTAATTTTTTTGTGTTTTTAGTAGAGACGGGGTTTCACCGTGTTAGCCAGGATGGTCTCGATCTCCTGACCTCATGATCTGCCTGCCTCGCCAACACTTTTTTTGTAATTGAGGTCAGTAACTGTCTAGGAAAGGAGAAGCTGGGATTTATCCCTAATTTCCCATGGGGACCTGAAACCAGTGCAGCTCCCAGGAGAAGCAGGACGAATCTGCAGAGGAAACTGTCACATAAACTGTCAACAGGTATGTGTGGCAAACCAGGTGCGTGGGCTTGCATCTTAAGGACTGAATGCGGTTGAGTCCTCTGGAGGTTGCCAGCACCTTGGAGATGCAACTAGGACCTGAAAGCATTGTCAGAGTGGCTGGAGTGCTCCCTAGCACTGAATAGGAAGGCAGGCAGCTTAGAGTGGGATCCTGGGCTCTATGCCAAAATGCAATCCAATGTTTTTGGAGATTCAGTAGGATAATAAATTAAGGCCGAGGTGAGGCCATCAACAGGAGAATCTTGTTTCATATTCCAGCTAGATATTCTTTCATCTATTGTTATATATATACATTTAGAGATGGCCCACTGCCCAGGCTGGAGTGCAGTGCCATGATCCTAGCTCATTGTAGCCTTAAGCTCCTGGGCTCAAGCAATCTTGCCCCCTCAGTCTCCCAAGTAGTTGGGACTACAGGTGCCCAACACCACCACCAGATAATTTTAAATTATTTTTTCTGTAAAGATGGGGTCTTGCTGTGTTTCCCAGGATGGTCTTGAACTCCAGGCCTCGAGTGATCTTCCTGCCTCAGCCTCCCCAAGTGCTGATTTAGGCATGAACCACCATACCTGGGCCATTCATATATTTACTACTTTATTTATGTTTATGGAAGCCACAAGATTCTCAGCAGTCAATTACAGCATTCAAGAATGATTTCTCAGCTGGGCGCAGTGGCTCACGCCTGTAATCCCCACGCTTTTGGGAGGCCAAGGCAGGTGGGTCACCTGAGGTCGGGAGTTCCAGACCAGCCTGACCAACATGGAGAAACCCCGTCTCTACTAACAATACAAAATTAGCCAGGCATGGTGGTGCATGCCTGTAGTCCCAGCTACTTGGGAGGGTGAGGCAGGAGAATTGCTTGATCCTGGGAGGCGGAGGTTGCAGTGAGCCAAGATAGTGCCATTGCACTCCAGCCTGGGAAACAAGAGCTAAACTCCGTCTCAAACAAAAAGGATAATTTCTCTTCTAAAGAAGGGTCTTATGTTATTAAATCCAGGGCTTTCAAACTCTTTTGAACCCATCCTTAAAAAAATACCTTTTCCGGCCGGGTGCAGTGACTCACACCTGTAATCCCAGCACTTTGAGAGGCTGAGGTGGGCGGATCAGGAGGTCAGGAGATTGAGACCATCTTGGCTAACATGGTGAAACCCCATCTGTACTAAAAATACAAAAAATTAGCTGGGCGTGGTGGCAGGCGCCTGTAGTCCCAGCTACTCAGGAGGCTGAGGCAGGGGAATGGCGTGAACCTGGGAGGCGGATCTTGCAATGAGCCGAGATCGCGCCACTGTACTCCAGCCTGGGTGACAGAGCAAGACTCCATCTCAAAAAACAAAACAAAGCAAAACAAAACAAAAACAATAATAACAAAAAAACCTTTTCCATCAGGATCCAGTACACGTGAACAGATATACTACTGGAATAAGAGTTTCAAAGAAACAAAACTTGACTGTAATATATGTAATGCATTCTTAATATAGTGGTTCTCAAAATGGTTTGGGACCAGCAGCCCCAACATCACCTGAAAACTTATTAGAAATGCAGATTCTTGGCTGGGCACCGTGGCTCACGTCTGTAATCCCAGCACTTTGGGAGGCTGAGGTGGGTGGATCACCTGAGGTCAGGAGTTCGAGACCATCCTGGCCAACATGGCGAAACCCTGTCTCTACTAAAAATACAAAAAAAAAAATATATAAAAATGGAAGGGCGAGGTGGCAGGAGCCTGTCATCCCAGCTACTTGGGAGGGTGAAGCAGGAGAATTGCTTGAACCTGGGAGGTGGAGGTTGCAGCGAGCCAAGGTCATGGGTGATAGAGGGAGACTCTGTCTCAAAAAAAAAAAAAAAAGAAAAGAAATGCAGATTCTTGGGCTCAACCTCAGATAAGCTGCATCAATCATTCTGCGAGATTTACCAAGCGATTCTGATATATGCTAAGGTTGGAAAACTACTACACAGTATAGTATAGACTATTATTCTAATCTATTTAATTAAAAAACCAAGCTGTTGATTATAAGCCACTACGTTTGGGGTTAGCTTAAAGGCTACCTAAAAAACCTCTGAGGTCTTGCCCGGTTGTTTTCCAGCTTCCCTCTCCAAACTCATCTCAGACCATCTGCTCTTTGCAACCTTGCTCAAGCCAACTTCAGCCAGACCCACTGCTTTGCTGGCTCTTAAGCCTGCAGCCCTTTCTGCTCCTGAACCTCTGCCTGCAGTGCAGCCCTGCCTGGACACCTCTTCTCCCAGCTCTTGGGTGGATGGCTCTTGCTTAGTGAAGAGTCTTAGCTCAGATACTTTTCTTCAGAGAGACTGCCCTGGCTAAATTGGTCTCAGCTGGTATATTTTATTTTTGTCATAGCCCTTAGCACAATTGATCATTATCTGCCTCCAGTTGAATCTCATTTGCGTAGAACAATGCCTGGCATATAGTAGGTCCTCAGTAAATACAGTCACACACCACCTAATGATGAACCACATATATGACACTGGTCCCATATGATTATAGCACTGTATTTTTACTGTACTTTTTCTAATTTAGATTTGTTTAGATACATAAGTATTTACCATTGTGTTACAGTTGCCTACAGTATTCAGCACAGTAACTTACTGTACAGGTTTGTAGCCTAAGAACAATAGGTACACCATAAAGCCTAGCTGTGTAGTAGGCTGTGCCATCTAAGTTTGGGTGAGTATATTCTATGATGCATTTCTCAGAACGTATCTCCATCATTAAGTGATGCCTAACATGACTATATTTGTCAAAGGAAAAAAATGAATGGGTACTTCTCAACCCAGAATGCTCCCCTGATGAGTGTTTTGAATCCACAAATCCTTGGTGACCTCTCCTAGTGACATGGCCTTTCCTCCCTCCAGTGAGAAACCCTGCCCTGCCACCAGAGGGTTTTTCTTCCCTCCAAAAGAAGGAAAAAAATACTGAGAATTCTGTCTCCTGGATGTTTCTTGCCTCTCTAGTCCTCCACCATTCCCTGTGTGCAGTGATTAAATCAGAGAAATGTAGAGTAAATAGCACCAGGCTTGAACTTAGGGCACCTGGGTACAAGGGAGGGTTCAACTGCAGCCTGACTGTTTGGCCTTGGGTAACTTACTAAGTGTCTTTAGGCCCAGTACAGTAGGGGTCATAAAACCTGCTCATGGCCGGGCGCGGTGGCTCAAGCCTGTAATCCCAGCACTTTGGGAGGCCGAGACGGGCGGATCATGAGGTCAGAAGATCGAGAGCATCCTGGCTAACACAGTGAAACCCTGTCTCTACTAAAAAATACAAAAAACTAGCCGGGCGAGGTGGCGGGCGCCTGTAGTCCCAGCACTTGGGAGGCTGAGGCAGGAGAATGGCGTAAACCCGGGAGACGGAGCTTGCAGTGAGCGGAGATCCGGCCACTGCCCTCCAGAGCGAGACTCCGTCAAAAAAAAAAAAAAAAAAAAAAAAAAAACCTGCTCATTCTCCCTTATCGAGTTATCAAGGGTCACAAAGGATAGAGCTTATGAAAATGCCAGGTATTACAAAGAATTCACCAACTTAACACCTAAAATATTGACCCATAGACCACATTCACAGCACGGAGGCACAACCTTCCTGATATGGGTTGGGTGTTCGTTCCCTCCAAATCTCATGCTGAAATGTGATCCCCAGTGTTGGAAGTGGGTCCTTGTGGGAGGTATTTGGGTCATGTAGGCAGATCCACCATGAATGGTTTGGTACCATAATGAGTGAGTTCTCACTCTTTTAGTTCATGTGAGAGCTGATTGTTTAAAAGAGCCTGGCACCCTTCCTCTCTCACACGTGCTGCCAGCTCCCCCTCCCCTTCTGCCATGAGTGGAAGCTTCCTGAGGCCTTACCAGGAGCAGATGTCAGTGCCACGTTTCTTGTACAGCCTGCAGAACCATGAGCCAAATCGACCTCTTCTTTATAAATTACCCAGCTTCAGAAATTCCTTTCTAGCAATGCAAATGGACTAAGACACCTCCCAAGGAAGTTGGGAGAGCTTGGGCATGCAAATCCATGGTAGAGCATGCAATCACGAAAATACCTGTGTGAGTTCTAAAAGGAGCCCCTGAGCCATAGAGTAGGAAAAGGAGCTTTTAGTAACTTGCATAGGGATTTTCATATTGTTTGCAAGTCATTTAATGCAGGTGGGCATGCATCATGATCCATAATACTCCTGCGCTCCTGCCTCCAGCCATCCTTGGCCTCTTCACCTTCACGTCCTCCCTGCTGGAACCCAGCCTGGAAAAATGGTGAGTTGAGCTCCCCCTGGGGGGCTCCCATGGCTGTCCCCTCCTTCCAGAGGCATGCATGGGGGTGAATGTGGGCCGGGAGGGATCCTGGAACATCATGCTGTCTGATGAATGGCAGGCCTTCGGCGTCACTGAGCTTTCACACCTGAAACCATTAAAGGTTGTTCTCCTTTTAATTCTTTATGGTCGTTCTCACTCCTTCCTTAGAGAAACCTCTGATTTTCACTTGCGAGACGCTTGGCTGAGCTTGTCATACCCTAAAAGGTGATTTCAGTTCTCTGATGCCAAAGAGCCTCTTCCGCTAATCAAAACACAGCTGCAGAGGCCTGTGTGATCTGCTAATGGGCACCCCAACTCTGGGGTATGTCTGTCTGTACCTGGGAAAATAGATGTAATTAGGATAACAGATATCATATGTATATGCAAATGTAGCAGGTAAAAATGACTAGAAATGAGACAGGGCTGCAGTTTGCCAAATCCCATCAGACCAGCTATGCAGCTTAACCAGATGCTAACACCATCACCACCAGGCCTTCCCCGGTACCAGCTCTGGTGCCCTTGCTTCATCTTCTTTTCTCCACCATGCTGCAACCCTAATGCAAGTTATTTTTATTTTATTTTTTTATAGATAGGATCTCTGTTGCCCAGACTGCAGTGCAGTGGCACAATCAAGGTTCACTGCAGCCTCAAACTCCTGGGTTCAAGTGATCCTCCCACCTCAGCCTCCTGAGTAGCTAATCTTTAAATTTTTGTAGAGACAAGATCTTGCCGTGTTGCCCAGGCTGGTCTTGAACCCCTGGCCTCAAGCAATCTTCATATCACAGCCTCTCAATGTGTTGGGATTGCCTATTTTTATTTTTTAATATAACAATAGATCCCCGTAGTTTTCTGAAGAGGCTCTTTCAAGAGCTTCAGATCTTATGAGGCTGCAGGGATCCTAGCATCTGAGAAGCTGGTGGGGGAAAGATGGACAAAAGAGAGGACCTCTTCAGTGTTTTTCCTTTAATGAGGGTTTGATCCCCACAAGGACAGCATCAGGATTGGAGGGGACCTGATGCGTCATTACCAATCCGGAGTTGCCTTTTGCAGAGAGAACAACCCCGTAAGGATGAGAAACACCCCAAAGCTTCTTGTCTGGAGTCAGGAGGCTCAGGCTGAAGTTCTATTTCTGCCTCTTCCTTGTGGTGTGCACTTAGGCAAGTGACTTACCTCTCTGTGTCTTGTGTTCTTCACCCTAAAATGGGCACAACAACAGCACCCACCTCAAAAGGCCTGCAGGACATAGGCTCTCAGATGATGTCTTCCTTTGTGATAGGTACATGGGCAGGTGAAGAGAGATAAACATCAGGCCCAGGGTTCTCACTCCACTGCATCACTCCGTCTACCTGCCCACAGATAAATCACTTCACCTCTCTGAGTCTCAGTTTCTTCATCTGTGAAGTGGGCTAATGATGGATGTCATAGTGCTGCTTCACTGTAAACAACAACATGCCATTAAACAGAAGCTAGTTACGCACGTTGAGTAATGACATCTGCATTTTGGGGGAGTGCCAAGTCTGATAAGATTGAAGAGCATTTCAACTGGGCGTGGTGGCTCACACCTGCAATCCCAGCACTTTGGGAGGCTGAGGCAATGCCCTGTGTCTGAGAGGGGTTAAGGAAGTCATCACTCCCATCTGGTCTATCAGAAGGGCTGCCAAACTATGCAGGCAAACGACTTGGGCACTGCCTTTATCGAGCTGTGCAGTCATTGAACAAGGGCATCCAACTTCACCAAACTAGGAGGGTCTGCGTGTGCACATCCATCTCTGTTGTTGGGACTGGGGCCTGTGCCTGTTTCCATTCTGTATGCTGTGTGCTTGACACAGTGCCTGGTGCATTACATGCTCAATAAATATGTATTGATTGATGGATGAATAAATGAAATCATCTGCATCCATGGATGAATAGATGGTCAATTACATTGTCAATATTCTACCCTGTGGGTGGAGTGGAAAAAGCAGTCAGAATCTTGGTCCTTTTGCAAATGGTGGAAGAGGACAATATTTGTAGAGTGTGTACAGACTTTGCAGTCAGAGCTACGTTCAATTCTCAATATTGCCATATCTTAGCAGTGAGCTTATTCAAACTTCAGTTTAAGAAAACATGCTAACCTTCAGTTTCCTCATCTGTGAAATGAGGATAAAAATATTGCCTCCTTTATAAAATTATTGTGTAGATGCTATACATTTGTACATGCCAGGGCCTGCCATGTTACCAAGTGGAAGGTGGTAGAATGGAAATGAATCTCCTTCTTTCTTCCCCTCTGCACTACACAGATTCCAAGCATATTGTTTTATACCCAGCCAAGTCTGAAGCCCTGGAAGTGGATCTGATCTTTTACCTGTCTCTAGCATTGATGTTTTTTATTCTGTTGAAGGCATCAATATTTGTTCAATAGTATAAATCTTAAATAAGCATCTAAACTACATATTACAGATGATGAAAGTCATTTCTGCACAGAAGATTATCTCACATGATCGTGTTTCCTTCGTTATCTGGGGCCTCTGTAGTTGGCAAATCTCCGCAGCTACTTAAATGATAACATTAGTCCTAATGCCATGTAAAATGACTCGTTCCTCAGGGTAGGTTTATTTTTAATAGTGTATGTCAGCAGCAAATAGCTTGGAAGACCCCAGAGGAAAAAGCACAGCTCAGGCTCTCACTGAAGCGATGATATAGATATATTTAATATCTATATTAAAAACCTTTTAGGCACCATGGTGATATTGAACTGGATAGTTAGGCGTGTGCAGGGAAAATCCTGGGCTGTTTATAGAGCGTGATGCAGTGTGCATAGTAGAAACCTTTTGAGGTTCTTCTAAGTCAAATTTGGGCCTCAAAAATCTTTGACAGACATTTGACCCCAGTAGTAAAATACTCTGAAATACAAGCTGGGAGAATAAAATCACTTCCTTTTCTCTTTTTTGGTAAGCCTGTTGATAAGTTTGCTGCGCTATTAAAATGTTTAATCACTTGCCTCCAGCAAGAGCGAGCTTCTGTGTGAAGTTGCAATTTATTAGAGTGCCCAGAACATACTTGCTGTTTATCCAAAAGATGGCCAGGGAATTCTTACAGAGAAAACAAACCACAATTTGAAATCAAGCATAGAATGGCAGATGAATAGATCCAAGGCAAAAATTATTTTGGAGTTGATTTCGGGGGAGACATGATAAAACCTGCACCGATTTTCTATCCCAAAGGCACAGGGTTAAATCATACAGTGGCCACAGGTCTGGCCTGTGAGATATCCCTGGGACAGATGGTAAAAGCGGTGCCAGGCCTGTCCCAGGGAGGGGAGAAGAGGCAGCAGAGGAAAGGGCTGCTTGCTAGAAGCATACCTTCCAAGAAGAGGCATTTCTCTCTGCTTTCAGGTTTGGTCAGAGAAGCTCAGCCTGGAAGGGCAATAAACAGATAGGTACCTGGTTTCAGCAGAATGCTATGCCCAAACCCCTCCTCCCTCCTTCTCTTCTGTGGACCTCACTCTGGCCTTTCAAACTCATCCCAGGCAAACTGAGTCATGGGGCAGGGAAATGCCTTCAAGACAGTGAGCATCATTCAGTTATGGCTCCTGAAGGCCTCTTGCTAGTGGCACAACACCATGGACCTAGCCCTTGAAGGAAGAGGAGAGAAGGAGCGCCTTGGAGGGCCACGGATAATTAACTCCTTCCAGAAACTGGTATCCAGGACTATGCCTCGGAGGGCACCTACAGATAATGAGCCTACCATCAGGTCACAATTTTCTAAACACAGATGTGTAAAGACATAAGGAATTTCCTGTTTATCATCCTGTCTTTGCCTATACAAATTCCTTTTTAAATCTGGATGATTGTATCCCAAACTGGGTTATAAAGAATAACAGATATTCTGGCAGAAAAGAATACTACGGCTTAATACATTTGGGAAATACCGCATACCTTGAATCACCAGATACAATGGCGTATTAATGACTCTCCTATGTCCTGAACTGAAAACTAGCAAACAAAACTGGTTTCACTCTGTTTCCCCCAGTGTTTCTCCAAATGGTTTGGCTACGAACTGCTTTCTTCACAGAACAGCTATCATCATCTTACCTTTGTGGAAGGCAGTTTAAGAATTGCTGTGTTATGGTAGGCAGAATTCTAAAAATGCCCTTGTTTCCCCCAAGATTCTCCTCTTCTGTTGATTCAATTGAATATTTACACAAATGCTGCTGAGAGGGAATTTTGCAGATGCAAGTAAAGCCCTAAGTAAATCGACTTTAAAATATGGAGAGTATCTGGGTGAACCTGAGCCAATCAGGTGACCTCTTAATTGAAAGGGTGAGGATTTGATGTTCCTTCTGTGGCTTTGAAGGTGGAGGGAACCCCATGAGAAGGAATATGGGCAGCCTGGAGAGGCAGAGACCAACCCCAACCCCCAGCTGACAGCGATGAAATGGGGACATCAGACCTGAAGCCACAAGGAACCGGATTCTGTCAACAACTGTAAAAAGCTGGAAGCAGAATCTTTCCCAAAGCCCCCAGATAAGAACCCAGATGGCTGACACTTTGATGTTGGCCTTGTGAGACTCTGAGCAGAGTCCAGGTGAGACTACCTGGACTTCTGACCTGTAGAATTGTGGGATAATAAATGAGTGTTGTTTTAAGCTGCTAAATTTGTGGTAATTCATTTTGCAACGACAGAAAACTACTACATACTGATTCAGAGAAATCAAAACAGAAGTGGTACACTCTTCTCTACCCTTTTACATTCACAAGGTGTTTCCAATGTAACGCTCATGTATGGTCAGGGCAGGTGTCTCTGTTTTTACAGGTGATGATATAGACTCAGAGAGATTAAGTTACTTGCCCAGGACACTCAGCTAGGAAATGGGGGAAGGGGACTTGAACGGGCTTTTTTGTGTGTGAGTTAGGATGGGGTGGGGGCGTGTTTCCTTTACTGTCTTTTGCATTCAAATAGGAAAAGGCATTTGGAGAGACTGCAGTTGGGAGCTTGCAAAGGAGGATGTAAAAAAAAAAATCAGGGAAGAACACATCAAGCAGCCGGTTCAACTGCTTCATCAGAGAGGTCCTTTCTTTCATCTCTTGTGTCTGAGCAGAAAAGCTTGTTAGAGAAAGGACCTACAGCTGTGAGTCAGTGACAATGTGTGGGGGCAGGGTCTTATGAGGCCACCGGAAGTGGGCTGCTGGGATGCTTTATACGGACAACTAAGGGTGAAGACACGCAGGCCTGTAATATCAAGAGAAACAATGTTTGCAGGCTGACCGCCCAGATGGGTGGTTTGCAGAGGTGGAGCTGCCTGCATAATTAATCAGCTCTAGCTTTCTTCGCCACAACTGGCATTCCTACCTGTACCCGCAGCCCTTGAGGGGCCCCTCACTCAGTGTCATGGAGCAGACAAGTCATCTGGGACCACTGCCCACTAACCCCCATGGACAGAAGTGGAGACTGAAGCCCTGAAAAGGAACAGGACTTCCTCAAGGTCACAGTCAAGGATCCCCTAACATATGACAATTCTCTGTGTTGGTTAGTGATGACTTCCTGATGAGCCAGTATTCCTTACTGAGCAAATTTAGTGTGCGTGTATGTGTGTGTGTGTGTGTGTGTGTGTGTGTGTGTGTTTTGTGTCCAGTATGAGAGTCAGAACTGTGAAGTGTTATTATTGTCCTAATAATAATAGAAGTCAATACCCACAGAGTAGAGACCCAGTGCTTGATGCTGTCTTGAAAGTGCTTCGTGCTAACCCCATTCTCACAGCAAGCCCATGAGGTAGTCAGGAAATCATTAGGGCTCTTAACAAATGTTTCTGTCCAGAAGTGGATCCAGGTTTTGCAGAGCTTAAAGCTTATCCAATTTGTGGGGACCTCTTGAAGGAAAGGAATACCAACTTACAAATATAAATTAGGCACAAGGCCTCATGAAAGAGAAGAGCTTGGAAGCATTACAGTAAGTCTGTTAGTTGCACGTTAATGCTCCCTGCCCCTTGTGAAGTTACGCAAGAGAATGACTTGCTTTGACCAAGGGGATGTGAATGAAATTGATGTGTGTCACTTCTGCGTGGAAGTCTTAAGACTTAGTGAGTGATTCTCCACTTTGTTTCCTAACCCTGACTCCCATGGTCCCTGGATTGACCATGGAAACGTGTGCCAAGATGGAACCTCCTTTGCCCTGGAACTCTGAGTCTGTGATATCTAGAGCAACCTCTCTCTTAACCCTGCCCTGTGTCAACCGACATGAGATCTGGAGTGTAAGGAAGAAATAAACTTTCGTCTTGGTAATTCACTGAGATTTTAGAGATTTTTTTTTTTTTTTAACCACAGTGAACCTCACTTAACCTAACTGATATAGGCAGGGTCTTATTATTGTTTCGTTTTCCAGATGAGAAAATTGAGACATAGGGAGATTCAGTTACTTGCCTGAGATCACCCAGCTAGTTAATGGTAAAACTGGGATAAATGGCTCAGTGTCTTTGTTTCTAGGTGACATTAGGGAGTGGTGGGGACTTCAGCAAACTGAAGATATTTGTTCCATTTGAAGACTGCTTCTGACTTCCTGCTGATGGTTGTAAAAGAGGAATGTAGGCCTTCATTGCCAGATCGTCTAATTTTTTTTTAAGCAGAAGCCAAAAATCCAGTGTTTTAATGTAAAACCAACTGATTGAAATATTTTCTTTTTCTTTTTTTAAACACCATGAAACTAAGACATCAGTGAGCTAGGAGGCTTGGTTCATCAGTTTGAGACCTTACAATATCCAAGTTTTCTTTAAAAACAAAACACTAAAAATTCAAGCCAGTAACAGGTATGTGCTAGTGACATAGCCATGGTAGTCTGAGAAGGCTTTGGTGGGGAGGTAGGACTGTGGCAAGATGTCCAGTGCCCAGAGAGGTTCCCTGCACTAAGATGATAGGGGCCGGGGGTGTTCCTGGGCTGGGGATGGAAAGAGAATAGTCACACAGATTTTCAAAGACTCAGTCACATCAAAAATGTTTTGTGGCCAGGCACAGTGGCTGACGCCTATAATCCCAGCACATTGGGAGGCTGAGGTGAGGCTGGGCTTGAGCCCAGGGGTTTGAGACCAGCTTGGAAAACATGGTGAAACCCCGTCTCTATATAAAAATTTTAAAAAATTAGCTAGGCATAGTAGTGGGAATCTGTAGTCCAGCTACTTGGGAGGCTGAGGTGAGAGGATTGCTTGAGCCTGGGAAGTTGAGCCTGCAGTAAACTGTGAATGAGCCACTGAACTCCAGCCTGTGCAACAGAACAAGACCCTGTCTCAACAAAAAATGTTTTGCTAGGGTTATCCAAATTTTTATAGGAGGCTGTCATACTCACACACAAATACTCCTCGAGGAAACACTAATAGTTTCACATGATGCATTTCTAGAAGCTTTCATATCACCATGCCCCGTGGGGTTGAGCAGGATCTAGCTGAATGTCATTGAGTCAAAGAGAGAGGAGGCTGTCACTGAACAAGCCTTCCTGAAAACAGGAGATCTCCCTGGATCCAAAGAAGGCAATTCTCTGATAACTCCTTGAAGAGACCCAGGTGTTTCCATGTACCTCATCTCTTCAGCTGTCTTGTGGGGCTCCGCTCATTCTTGGGGAGTGGAGACAGTGAACAGTAAAGGTTATGTCCAAGAGGCCCTAACGTGAAAAGTGAAAAGGAAAATCAAGGTCAGATGAGACCAGTGAGCGTTCAGCACACCTGACCTCATGCATTAACCCAGAGGTTCTCAAAGCGTCAAAGGGGACTTGAAATGTCATAAGAATAAATGAACCATTTGTGGAAATAGAATCATGTGGGCAAAAACATTTGGAAAACACATTATGCAATGAAACAAGGTCCTTTGCTGCAGAACTTCTCAGAACGTTTAAAAAGCCACATGCACTGTGTGTGTCTCTAAGAGGGCAACACTCTCTCTACCTTTTTTTTTTTTTTTTTTTGCAGAAGCTTTTGGGAAAGAATGTGATAGAAAACCTTCTTTGAGGTGTGCTGTCTCCTTCCCTTTGTGGGTTCTCACCTCTGAATATCTTGGTCACTTCCTCTCCAGGTTTCTTTTAGAATTGCAGTTTTCTCTTTTCAGAAAAGGAGGCATTTGTATTTATTCATTAGTTTTCAGAGTGACCCGTGGAGATCGGAGAGGTTATTGCATGCCTGGCACTGTACCCCACGGGTCCTTGAGCTCTCTGGGCTGGGCACAAGCACCTGCTTTCTCTTCAACTCAGTGGTGACTTCAACAGTTGGAATTTCCAGCTCAAAGGAGGTTCTTTAAGGCAAAGAGACAATGACACTTGGGAGGTAGCAGCCTCAAGGAAACAGTCTCTGCCTGGGGACACGTACTTGGGAGGAGGAAAAGGAAGAGGAGGAGGAGAGAGAAGCCCCTGAGTGGCTGACCAAAAGGGGCCCCTTTTATGGCCTTCCTGTTTATGGCTGAGAAGTAAACAGCTCAGGAGCCAGGTTGTCTCCCTCCACAGCTGGGCCACTGGTTCGAGCTGGCCGGGGACCCTCTCTTTCTGGGTGGCAATGGGCGGAGAATCTGCCAGTCACGCTCATCTCAGAATGCATTTTTAAAAAGTCAGCATCTTGGGCATTTTTCCTTCATCCTGTGCCATCTTCTTGGCCCACACCTCAGGGGTCTTGCTTCTTTCAGGAGACAGTTGGAGATCTGTGTGTGCAAGCTTGGGGGTCAGATCCCAGCTGCAGCGCGAAGCAGCTGTGTGACTTCCGGGGAGCCCTGTACCTCCCTTATTCTCATTTACAGTGATGAGTAGTAGCCCCTTCCCCCCAGGGATCTAAGAGGATGTGCAGACTGTGCCTGTGAACTTGCCTGGCATGTGGTAAGTGACAATACATGTTTACTGCTATGACTATTATTTCAGTTGCCCTCTGGGCTCAGTCAGCCTCAGCTTCCAGGGGGTGGAGAGCTGGGGTCCTGGTTGGGGGCAGGGGCTCAGGCTTACCTCCCAGAGGGACTCCAGGGGCCTTGGTCCAGGCAGCAGCTCTCTCTGAATTAGCGCTTGGAGTGCTTTGCCTCCTGAGAAACGCAGGCTGTGATGGAGCTGGGAAGGTGCTCCAGCTAACATGAGGAAGACGGCGCCGGGGGCAGCTAACACCAGGAGAATCAATAAACTATAATTATCAAGAATGGTGTCTGTGGGGGGTGGGGGCAGAGGGAAACAGAGGAGGGGGGTGGGACAATGCCATAGAGAAGAAACATCGAGAGCAAGACACACACACACATACACACACACACACACACACACACGCACACACACACACACTGAACAGATGCAGAAAAAGTGTGCGAGCATGAAAAGAGAACAGAAGTGTGTGCTGTGCTCAGCCCTCCTGTCCTGTCCCCTCAGGGTGGGTCTGCCTTCCTGGACAAGACAGAGGAAGTAAGAGCCAGACATCTATTAGCTCTTTACATTCCCCAAGTCCTTGTCCACATCAGTCCTTTAACTCTTGGATGCAGGGAAGAAATGTTCTCACGTCTGCTTACAATGTCTAATCTATTAACTTAGTTATGTTCAGATTTTAAAACAATATATATATATTTTTATATTGAGTGTAGTCTGTTAGGCTAGAAATAGTACTTCAACATTACCCGCACCTTCATCATCCCTGGATTAAATGCTACTTTTCAGACCCACTGCTCCTGCAAGGTTTCTTTTATTTATTTTAAAAATATTTTTAGAGACAGGGTCTCACTCTGTCACCCAGGCTGGAGTTCAATGGCACGATCACAGCTCACTGCAACCTAGAACCCCCAGGGAATAAGGGATCCTCTTGCCTTGATAGTGAGTAGCTGGGATTACAGGCATACACCACCAGGCCTGGCTATTTTCTTTTTTCATTAAAAAAATAAATAAATTTTAGAGACAGGATCCCACTATGTTGCCCAATCCTGGGGTCAAGAGATCTTCCCACCTTGGCCTCCCTCCCAAAGCGCTGGAATTACAGGGGTGAGCCACGGTGCCCCATGCTCCTGTGGTTTTTTGATACAGCACTTTTGGAACCCATTACGATGCTGTCACCTGGACTTGAAGGCCAAGCCCCACAAACCCACTGGCTACTCATGAGCTCTATCCGGTTACCACTCACTGTTTTTTCTAAAAAAGACTTGGTTTTTGAGAGCAATTTTAAGTTCACAGCAAAATTGAGAGGAAGGTACAGAGATATTCCAGACATAACCTGGCCTCCCATATAACCTTATTGCTTTCAAAAGCCATCTTTTAAAATTTCCTTCTCTCTGATCCCCCAACTCTTGCCATTTTGAGGTATCGCCCCTAGAAGGGCTTGTTACATCTGGTGCATGTTTTCTTGGCTTTCCTTCCCCCCGATTTGATCTGGGAGACTTCACAAGCACAGGAATAGGCATTGATGGAGGTTGTTGAACATGGGTGGGTTGACTTTTCTCCTGAAGGTGTCGAAGAGACCCTCAGAGGAGGAAGGCTTTTGTAACACTCAGACATGCTGAGCCCCTGTTTTTCAAGGATAGGGTTTTGGAAAATGAGCAAATATGCAAACAAACTTGTGTTACATTTGGGCTTTATTGTGTGCCGGGTCACTAGACACTAGGCTGTGTGTGTATGTGCGTGTGTGTATGTGTGTTTAACCAGCATTATCTCAGTTAGCCAGTCTAATCTCAGTGGTATTCACAGGAAGGATTTCTACCTCCCTCATAGAGTAGAGCTGCTGGCCAGGAGGTGTCCCTCCCTGTCACAGAACTTGCAGGTGGCTGAGCCTCCCAGGTGCCCAGATAGGCCATCAGCATTGCCTTTCCCCAGTGAGGAAACTGAGGCCCTAGCAGGTTAACTCTCAAAGCATCCGAGGCTCACTATAGCAGTGACCAGCCTAGGTTAGATCAGGTCTCCTGACTCTCAGCCTGTCTGATATCCGATGGGGAGAAGATGGTGAGGACAAGATGAGACAATGTGTCCTGCCTGGGAGGGGTTCTCCTGGGAGCTGTCTCACACATGCCCTCTGCCTCCCGCCCTCTGCCTTAAAGTATGCACACTCCCCTTCTCTAGCCCTGGGTGGCACGCTTTACAAGGAGCCTAGCCTCCTGGCCCTTGGCTGAGCAATCACATAGCTTGCCGTGTTCCTGGGAAGCCCAGGGCAGGAGACAGAGCCCAGGGCCTGGTACTGGATCAGCCGGGACTTCTCAATCTGTGCCTGGTCCCCCACATCCTATCTCTCTGCCTCCTTTCTCCTGCCAGCGACAACCACAAAGCTCCCTCTTGCCTGGAAGCAGAAAGAAGGTTCTTCTGTGCGCCCA